TGGCCTTCCTTATGTCCTCTTTCGAAAAGTATCTATTTAGGTCCGTTGCCCATTTTTTGATTGGGTTGTTTATCTTCCTTTTGTTAAGTTGTATGAGTTCCCTGTAAATGTTGGAGATTAAGCCCTTATCGGTAATAAAGATCGCTTTATGACAATGCTTTGTAAGATTTCTTTGTGGTCAATATTACTATTTTAAGCACTTTTTTTTTTTAAGGGAAGCTAAACATTCCTTTCTATTCTGCATATAGAGACTTCAGTTCTATTTTTCTATCTTCAAGACCAAAGTTAAAATTCAACTCCAATAGGGCCCTCCTATAATTAAAATTAATCATTACTTCTTCATTACTGCTACAGAACATTGCTTCTCTATATACCATTTATTTCATTTTGCCTTATATGAAAGCTATTTGTTTACAATGTTTCTACTTCTTTTTAGGAATAATGATTATGCATTATTCACCTTTGTATTTACCTGGCATTTAGCATACTGCCTTGGCATATTCATGAATAAGTTAATATTTTTCTCAATAAGATGAGCATGTAAGTTACATACACATCTTCCACCAAACCAACCCTGAAGTAACAAATTTAAGTACATGGGGTAATATACTCTTAAAAATCTTTCATTTTAAAAGTTTGGTGAGCCACCTAAATTGGTGATTGGGAACCACCAAGATCATTCACTCATTAACAAATATGTACTATGTACTAAATGCATATGTAATGGTGAACGACATAGATGTAGTCTATGTGCTCAAGAATAAAGCAGGTGGTAATAATAAGGAATTGGAATGGGAGTGGAGGGCAGAGGGTTGCTCATGTAGACTGGACAGATTGACAAGTCAGCAGAGTTAAGGACTCAAAAGTGTGCTGGGAGCTTCAGGTGCTTTAATGCCAGCTTCAAGGGAATAGTTAACTACAGCATAGTCTCTAATCTATCACCACTTGTCCTTTTCTGATGGTTTAGATTTTCTTGGCTAAATTAAGCGATGGCATGAACTCTGCAATGTAAGACTATCCATTTCCAAATAATTCTAATTTCCTTCTAGTCCTTATGACTGATAAACTCATCTGGAAGTGACAACTATGTCCCGATTAGGAGTGTTTCTCCATTTCAGCTTTAATTTCTTTGATTTGGAGACCTCCTGATGGCTAATCAACATGTTGTGTAAATACTTCAATGATTACTTATAGAATGTTATTTTGTCATCAGAAGAAAGAACTGCCGCTTCTGAACTCCAGACTGTTCTAAAGCAGGAGTGGGGAATGCCCGGCCCGTGGGCCTTATTTGCTCTGGCCCTGTCAAGGCAGTAACAGGCTAATTTTTAAGTTGATAATTTTGTATGACCCATGAATGATGTTATAAATATCCAAACGGCCATTGGCAGAAAAAAGTTCCCCACCCCTGCTCTAGAGCTTAGGCAAAGTAAATGTATCTAAAGTAGTTCCTAACCACTGGGCATTCTCAGATCTACTGCTAGAGCCACATGTTAAATTATGATAGCATGTGAAATACTGGAAAAAGTCCTGGATTAGAAATTAGATGTAGGTTCTAGTCCCAGGTCTGCCACTTTGTCATGCAAATCTGGGTAAATTGTTTACTTCTTTTAGGCTAAGTTTTCTTATCGGTAAACGGGGAGTATATAGAAATGACATCTTACACAAATTCAACTACAGGATATGTGCTTGGCAAAAAATCTAAAAGAAAAATATCAATTTAAATAGCATTTAATGAGCATATGCCATGAAGTGAGCATGAGCTGGCAAGCACAAACCTATTGTTACATCAATCAGTCTCAGTTCTTACATGCCCCTCAATGAAAGTCTTGCTGTGTATGCTACATGATTTGAGTGTTTAAATATTAATATATTTATTTGTATGTTTAGGACAAGTTCCTTAAACATAATCCACTTGCTTCATCTAAGGCTCAAATGAAGAGATATGATTTATTTCATGCTTACTTTAGAAACTAGTAGGGTGTTGACTCCCCTATACCACTCTATTATACTAGCATAGGGAACATGTAAGTCAAAGTTGATGGAATCCTAGAAACACACTGTTGAGAGCCTGATTTATCAATCTGTTTATGTTACTGGTTATTAAATAACAGTTTATCAATATGTCACTACCCCAACTGAGCTATGCCACTGTCTTTGGCACAAATATATACACATATGTGGAAAATGATGGATATACAAAGTTACTCATTGCACAAAACTTTTAATAAGGACCAGAAAAAAATTAAATGTCTAAGAGGACTGATGAAATGAAACATATACAATGAAATATTTTGCAGCCATAAAAAGGAATGAAGAACCATCTTATATAATGATAGAACAACTTCTAAAATCAGTGAAAAATTAAATTATGTACCATTTATGTAAAAAGGAGGGGAAAGAAAAATAAAAAATATATAGTATTTATTCCTTTGTATATACATAAATTTTTTGGAGGGAAAACTATATAACCAACTGTTGGCATTAGGTGTTCCCTAGGCAAGGAACTGGGTAGTTGAGGAACCAGAGTGGAAGAAAGACTTTTAACTGCATATCCTTTCTACTTTTTGAGTTTTGAACATGTGAATATATTACCTAATCCAAAAGGAAACACAAAATTTAGATCAGCAAGAAAGTACTTTGAGATGAAATAGGATCATGTTCTTAATGGGAAACATTTATAAAAAGTAGGTATAGCCCTGCTGGCATAGCTCAGTGGTTGAGTGTCAACCCATGAACCAGGAGGTCACAGTTCAATTCCCGGTCAGGGCACATACTCAGGTTGCAGGCTTGATGGTGTGGGAGGGGGGTGTGCAGGAGGCAGCCAATCAGTGATTCTCTCTCATTATTGATGTTTCTATCTCTCCCTCCCTCCCTCTTCCTTTGTGAAATCAATACAAATATATATATATGGCTTAAAGGGAAATAAATGCCTACAGGTAGAATGTTTGGATTATAAGGGACCTTCCTTAAGAGACCCATCTATCCCAAACTTCTCATAGATCTATAAACCAAGGCCTTGAAAATTAAGTGATTTGTGTAAGGTCACATAGCAGAAGAGTTAGGAATAAAAATCAGATATTCCAATATCTACTCTAAGACACTTCTTTATCATACTGTCTTCTCATTTCATGTGGGCAAAACAGAGCCAGGTAAGTTTAGGCTAAAAAATAGGTTGTCATGTTCTATCTAAATTTTAGAGTTTAAAGTACAAAATAATCTTAAACCCTTGGACTACCAATTTCTTACGTAGTTTCTACATGGCTACACTAATAAGCTGTGCATAGCTCTATCAGTGAACATATTACAGTATAAGTGTATTTTCTCTTTAAAAAATATTTTTATTGATTTCAGAGAGGAAGGGAGAGTGAGTGGGAGATAAAACATCAATGATGAGAGAGAATCATCAATCGGCTACCTCCTGCACGCCCTCCACTGGGGATCGAGCCCACAACCTGGGTATGTGCCCTGACTGGGAATCAAATTGCAATCTCCTGGTTCATAGGTCGACTCTCAACCACTGAGCAACACCAGCCAGGCTAAATGTACTTTTTTCTATCCTTCTAACACAAGTGAATTCACTGAGGTAAAGAACTCAACTGTATTATGCTGTTTTAGTTTTTTAAGTATACAAATGCCTAGCACAATTGTATTGTCCAAAACATTAATATCGGTTTGCATTCTTTAACCAAAACCTAGGGGATGGATATGTTTTAGAAGTAAATAATTTCTTGAAACTTTAAAAATGTTACAAGGTACACAAACCATTATGTAACACCTAACATACCAGGGGCCAAAGGCCACATCCCATAATCAAACATAATCTCTCTTCAACAAAACATATGTGATACATGACGACTATATAGAACTTCTGGGTTTAGGTCATATTTTGCTACCAAATTAATTTTGTCCCCAAGCTTAAAAGGGTTTTGGTTTTTCAAAGCCTTCTAATGTTGGAATCAGGTGAGAGTTTATAGACTGTACTCACAAAGGTGCTGCTAGAAAATATGGTTAGACACTTCAACCAGCATTTTTTTGATGAGACTAGAACAAGCAGGCAGTTTTTACATCCTAGGTTCGGCCAAAGGCTTGTTTGTTATTAAGGAATCTAACCTAGCAGAGGGGGCAAAAGCTGAAAAAAGAAAATTCTAATTGTACAACACTGTATTCCTATTGCAGCTGCTCATTGGTCATAAATTTAATAAAAGCTCCCTTTGATTAGATCATGCTATTTTTTAAATATAAATGAATAAAACTCTGTCCCACATTGCTGAAAAGAGACAGAGGCAATGAGCTTTAACCCTAGGAAGGTATCTGGACTCTTGTGGGGTCCAGTGTAATACACAGAAAGAGGCATTCGAAATACACTGGTAAGGAACAAGCAGGAATGTATATAGTGTGTGTGTTTCTAACATGATACCATTCCTCTGATATAAATGAAAGGAGAATTTGTAGTTGACTTCTCCTGATTGACTGTTCTATATTAGTACCTTTCCTTTTATTTTATGAAGCCTTATGTGACTTTCTCTACCTTTTACAGGGGAAAAGCTGTGGAACATATACTAAAAATCCCTTCAATTCTTTTCACAATCCCAGCTCCACCTTCATTTTGTTTGTTACAATTACATATTTTTTCCTGTAAAAAAAAAATCAACTTTACAGAAAACAATGTTTGATTGATATAATTCAGTTTGGGAATGTTGATTTTTCAATCTTACAATTCCAGCTACACTTTAACTGAATCAATTATTTTGTTCAATTTATGAAGCTACTCAGCAAGTGTTTAATTACAAAAAAAGTGTACTCCATTCCAAAGAATGGAAATGGCCATGGTGAACAAGAAAAACCCTGAGTTTCAGCTACTAGTTCAGGAGGAAATACAACGTTTTCATATTTTCATAACTCATTTAAAAAAATCCCAAATAGCGAAATGTAATAACAAATATACCAACACATTAATAATCGTGCACAACAAAAAAGGTAAACAAAAACTAACCTGCCTATATTTCAGTCTGGAAAAAGCAAAACAAACTTCCTGCTGGATTTCTTGACCATTTGCATTCAGGAGCACCAAAAACTAAAATGCTTTTCACTTTAGAACTTCCCGGTGTACAGGACTCGGTCCCTCTGTGCCACCCTATCAACACGGTCAGCGTTACTCCACAAGACCAGCTCGGGCGGCCATTCGGCCCGAGACCACGAAGAGAACCACAGTCCACACGGCCGCGGGTGCTCCGCGAAGAAGGGGGAGAACCTGCATGTCGTTATTCTAGGACTAGAACCAATCGAGCGAGAGGACTACGCTGCCCCCAGGTTCGGAATGCAGACTAGGAAGCAGCGCACGCGGTCACGCTGCCCCGGAACCACATGACCTTCCTACGAAAGCCGCCTGAACTCACAAAGGAGAGCTCCCCCGTTCTCCTCAGTTACAAGTCAGGAGACCCGAGTCGGCGTGGCAGGGACGGAGCCGAGGCTGACGGGCTGGAACCGGTCGTGGACAGAGTCCCTGTGCTTCTGCCCTTACCGTTAGAAGATCTGGGAGGGAGGGAAGGAGGAGAAACATCCCAGAATCCGGGCAGAAAAGCCCCTGGCCCCGAAGATGGGGTTTGGGGACATAGGGAGGGGCAGCTCCGTGTGTGGTGACCTTTCTGAACACGCACTCGGGCAGCTCGACTCTCACGGAGGCTTTAGCACGGCGGCCTATGCAGGCCTCGCGCGGCCCACAGTCGGCGAGATGGCGGTGCCGCGTGGACGCACCGGCTTAGAGCCTCCAGGGCACCCTCCGCCGGCCCGGGAGCCCGCCCCTCGCCCGCCCACCAGGTCACTCAAGGGCGCGTCGGCTTCCGACTCGGGGTCTCGCGGGCCAGACCTCAGCAAAACACGTGCTACTCTCTTTCCTCAGCGAAATCCCTCCGCTGCCGGCCGCGAACTAGTTTTAATCACGCCCCACCCCCAGTGACGTCACCTCCGCCACTAGAGCGCTTTCCAGCAGCTTCCAGATCCGTCGCCTCCCCCAACGCAGCCATTCTCAGAGGGCGGGCTCTGCGGCCACCGGACCCGCCCCCAGCCGTCGTCGCGGCTGAAACTGCGGTAGCAGAGGCCAGGCGTAGGGCTGAGCCTCAGCCGAGGCCGGACGGAAGTGCTGCGGTCCTCGCCTTCCGCCACGCTTACGGACCTAATCCTTTCGGGCCCCAGGCAGAGTCCGGAGGGGAACTCTTTGGCGGCGGACTGAAACCGGAAGCCGCTTTCCTAGCGGGAGGTCGGTGGGGGAGGAGCGGGCTGGGTTGAACGTAGGGTAGACGTTGCTGTGTGCGGTGGAACAGGAATTCGGATCCAACGTGTGCGAAGAAGTACCCTCCTCAGGTAGGGAGAAGGAGTAGTATTCTTCTGTGCCCCAAATAGGGAAAAGGGACAGAACCGGGTCGATCTGTGGAGCTTTGTGCGCGCTGAAAGGGCGGGCTGGTCCGGGAGGGAGCGGCTGGGACCAGGTTCAGATGGGAGGGTTTAAGGTGTCGAGTTAGAGGTGTAGATTCGTTTGGGCTCAGAGAGGTAAATGCTGAAGAGAAACCAGAGTTGTTCTCCCCTTTCCCGTGGAACGTGGAGATGGGGAGGGTGTACGGAACCCTGCGCCTCCTCGGGTTTCCAAGGTTGAGGTTTGAAACGGACCTCTATGGGCCCTCTCCATTTCTGATTCATATCGGCTGGGTTTGGTATCCGACCCGATTGGGCCCGAAAGCCGACCCTGCTCCTCGGTTTCATGTCTGTTGTGGCGTCGCCTTTGACAGTTCACGTGCTGAGCCCACTTGGTCTTGGAGGGCAAATAGGAATAAGGCTCCTCTTGGAACATTTTGTTCTCTGGGTTTTCCCATTTTGCACGTGGGACTGGGAATTAAGCTTAATTGCATCTTTTTCGCTTTTCCCAGGGCCAACTTGACACTATTCCCTGGGTCCATACTGGGTTAGTAATTCACACTCGGGCTTCTGGAGTATCAGTGGCTCAGAGAAGTAATGAAAAAGGGGGCGTCAAAAGAACGATGCTGGAGGCAAAGAATAGAGGGTCAGGCTGGGAGGTCACAATGCAGTGACCTTTCTTTTAGGTCATACCTTTAGGTCACACTGCGCTGTTATAATCAGCTGGTGTTAAGAGATGATTTTAAGCTGGGCAGGGACAAACTCAGACTTGGGCAGTGATACGGGGTGTAGATGGCCTGGAAAGAGGTGAGGCTTTGAGACGCTTCCAAAGAACTGTCTACAGAACTTCGTGATTTATACTGGGTGAAGAAGAGGGAAGTGAAAGAGTAGAGAACCACTCAAATTTTCTAGTGTATGTGTTTGGAAGGATGGAGATGCCAAAATATAGATGATACACAAAAGAGAGGAGCTGTTAGTTTTGAAGGGAGGACAAAGAAATTGTATTTGGAAGACCTGAGTAGCCCACTTCTGGTATTTTATTAAGTGAATTTGCTTTCGGGGGTTCTGCATATTTAAGATTTCAACCACCGGTCTACCTGCTATTTTCTTTGAAATGTTAGTGGTGGGATCAGGGGAGCAGATTTGAAGGCTCCTCCTGTTTCAGTTTTATAATTGAGAGAGAGCCTACAAGAATCAGTGGAAAAAATGTTCTTGATCCCTCAAGCAAATGGAAATTTTCGTTAAAAACAATTTACTCAAGATACATAGATTACCGATTTTTCTCTTGAGAATGATACAAGATGGGTTGCCTGCTTTCTACAGAATGAAGTGTAAAATTAGCACCAAATATATAGTAGCTAAAATTTACTGTGTCAGATGCTAAGCATTTTAAATGTATTAGTACATTTAATTCTTATAACCACCAATTTTACAAAGAAATTGCTGAATCCAAATCTTCAGGTGTAAACCATGCCTTTAGCCACGCTGAAACCATCGAAGTTTGACTCTTTCCTATATAGTTCCTTTTTGTAAGCAGATTATAAATAGAACCACCCAAAGATAATAAATTGGTATTGTCTGTGAGCAGCTTAAAAAGGAAACAATTTAGCACCAAACTCGTTTTTACCCTTTTGTCAATGATTCTGGATAAGGCATTTTTGCCTCCCAAGAGACACAATTGGGAATGCCTGGAGACATGTTTGATTGTCACAATTGAGTGGTGAGGGCTTTGGCATCAAGTAGGTAGAGGTCATAGATGCTGCTAAACATCATGTACAGCGCACAGGGCAGCCCTCACAACAAAGAATGAGTTGGTCCAAAATGTCTATAATGCTATAGTTGAGAAATCTTGCCCTGTGGATATTTCTTCAGGAATAGGAAATTGTGATTCACTAACACTGGCTTTTTAAAAAACACTTTATTTTTAAAAATTATTCCTTGGCTTGGAAGTATATACTGCTGGAACAGAATAGCATAACTAGTTGCCTTTTTCTTTTCTAATGTTTTTATTGATTTTTAGAGAGGAGGGAGGAGAGAAAGAAACATTAATCAGTTGCCTCCCACACTCGCCCCGACCTGGGGTTGAACCCACAACCCAATTATGTGCCCTGATCAGGAATCTAACCTGAAACCTTTTGGTGCACCCTGGGATGACACTCCAACCATCCGAACCACCCAGCTAAGGTGCATAACTAGTTTTTCAAGTGACCCCGTGAACTGCAATTTTTCAGGAGAGATGATTGTTATGGAATCATAGATTCTTAGATTTGGGAAAGACTTTTGCTTGACATCATTTTACAACATCCCTACTAAGTGATGATTCACTCTGCTTATAAGTTTCCTGTGTCTGGTTTCCCTGTATTATAAATCCATATCAACTCTACTTTTAACAATCACTTTTCTTATGCTGAGTTCCAGTCTCATAATTTTTACTTTCCTGAGTGTGATTCTAGGCCATGGGACTAACACTCGGAACAGGCTTGTTATACATGTAATTTGTACTGTAATAGTGTTTATGTTTTCTGTTATGGTACAGATCATTTACTTTAATATGAAATAGTATTTTGTTGGCAACTTTTAAAAAGTGGCATTATTCTTAGTTGGTGAAGTATATTCTTGGTGGTTGAAAGTGCTAGGAATGTATGGGGTTCTTTGGTCCTTGTCATGTAATGGCACAATGGATCTAAGATTTGTTTTTTTTTTTGTTTGTTTTAATTGATTTTAGAGAGAGGAAGGGAGAGAGAGAGAAAGAGAGAGAAACACCAATGTGAGAGAGAAACATCGACGGCTGCCTCTCCCAGGCGCCAAACCACGAGACGGAACCTGCAACCAAGGTATGTGCCCTGACCAGGAATCAAACCCACAACCTTTCGGTGTACGGGACGGTGCTCCAACCAGCTGAGCCACACTAGCCATTACATTTCTTAATGTAATGCTGACATATTTGTTTCAAATTGTACATAGACTCTGAAAACTTAGGCTTTCAAATTCTGGTCAATAAAAATTGGCTTTAAATAATAGTTACCTCTGTTACAAGTTTTAATAAAGTTGCTTACAAATGAGTCTATGAAAACCCGTCCTGTTGCCAGTTTTCTCCCTCTCCCCACAAACTGTCTAGATTTTTAAATGTAGTTAAGTATTTTTTTTTACTTCCAGATTACAATTTTATAATATGTTTATCCTAGGACATATAGTTCTCAAAATATAGTTAACACATCTTATAAAATAGCATTATTTCTAGTTAAATAGGATTTTTGTTTAATTGTCTATTGACTTTTATTTTTCAGGATTCATTGAAAAAATCCTTAGTGATATTGACATGTTTCAAGTGACATAAATTAGCCAGTGACTCGGAATGATGGATTCCCCGAAGACTGGAAATGGTTTGCCAGTGATTGGACCAGGGACTGATATAGGGGTATCTTCACCCCACATAGTGGGGTATTTGGGAAAAGTTAGTCAATTTATTTTTTGCCTCAGTGCAAAGTTGGTATTTTTTCCTCCTGTTTTTGAGATTTGAATTCAGTTTTAATTTGACCAGTTAACTTATAAATAAATTGTATCATCTTCCACGGAAATCTTACAGTATTGGCGAAAGATTGTTTTAATGTATTTACCTCTCTGTGTTTTATTAACATATGAAAGTAGAAATTATACAGACTTTTTGGTTTACTATTCTTTGAAAATATGGAACATGCATTTTCCCTTACAATTGACATTACCTTTTTTCTTGCAAGTAAAACATTATTTTTAACACTTAAAACTTAATATTTAAAATAACAATATATTCTTTTTGGATTAATAACTACATTTAAGGCCTGTATGCATTTTTTTTATTTGCCATGTTGAAAATATCATGCCAGGATACTTAGGGGTGAAAGTTGTAATTCTTTTCTGGTTGCTTTTCCACTTAACATTTTGTAATTTGGTACTATCTAGTAATGTCTATATTTTAATTTACTTTATTTCTCTTTTAGAATTATGATTCTGCTAACATCCTGTCAGATGGGTATTGCCCTGCTTGTAGAGAGAAGGGAAAGTTAAAAACCTTAAAGACTTACCGAATTAGTTTTCAGGAATCTGTCTATTTGTGTGAGGAGCTACAGGTAAAGTATTAATTTTATCTTTTTTAAAAATTATTTTTATTGATTCCAGAGAGGAAGGGAGAGGGAGAGAGAGATAGAAACATCAATGATGAGAGAGAATCATTGATCAGCTGCCTCCTGCGTGCCTCACACTGGGGATCGAATCCGAAACCTGGGCCTGTGCCCTGACGGGGAATCAAACCATGATCTCCTGGTTCCTAGGTCTGATGCTCAACCACTGAGTCATGCCAGCTGGGGCTAAAGTATTAATATTAGAGTTCAATCAGCTGCCTCCTACACACCCCCCAGTGGGGATCAAGCCCGCAACCCTGGCATGTGCCTTTGACTGTAATTGAACCTGGGACCCTTCAGTCCGCAGGTCGACACTCTATCCACTGAAGCAAACCAGCTAGGGCAGTAGTCGGCAAACTGCGGCTCTTGAGCCATATGCAGCTCTTTGGCCCCTTGACTGTGGCTCTTCCACAAAATACCGACTTCTGCGCATGAGCCACGAAGTTTCAGTCGCACTGTACATGCGTGCCCGCACGTAGTATTTTGTGGAAGAGCCACACTCAAGGGGCCAAAGAGCCGCATGTGGCTCTCGAGCTGCAGTTTGCCAAACACTGAGCTAGGGTAAAGTATTAATTTTAGATAGTATTGAGGTTTTGGCCTTTTGCTTTTTTTCTTCAATTTTACATTAGTGTTCATTTTATACTTTTTCTACTGTACATTTTTTTTTTAAATATATTTTATTGGTTTTTTACAGAGAGGAAGGGAGAGAGATAGAGAGAGTTAGAAACATCGATGAGAGAGAAACATCGATCAGCTGCCTCCTGCACATCTCCCACTGGGGATGTGCCCGCAACCCAGGTACATGCCCTTGACCGGAATCGAACCTGGGACCTTTCAGTCCGCAGGCTGACGCTCTATCCACTGAGCCAAACCGGTTTCAGCATCTACTGTACATTTTTAATATTTAGATAATCAGAATTTCTAAATCTGTCTAGTACTCTTAAATATTTTCTATTTTAGGAAACCACTTGGTTTCTTGAATTATTGCAAGAAGATGTTTGTTTTTACTGTTATTAGACTTGTGAGAGGAAAAAATATATTTCAAGATTTATTTTTTTTAACATTTGTGGGGGCTTGTTAGCTGTTGTAGTTAATCTCTCTTCACTTTGATTTATTAACTTTGGGACTTATTAAAAAAGTTATTAATCTCTACATGTTATGTAATTAAGGTTCTAAATATCTTTTAGGATTAATTGTAATTTATATCTGTGGTACAACTTGAACTTGCTTAACTCCATAATACTCTACATTTTATTGTATTTGACAGTTATGAAACTGTTATTACAAATTTAATTCTCAAAACTTTGCAAGGTAGGTGTTTCTATTTTGTGAATAAGAAAACAGGGGCAGAGAGTTTAGGAACTCAAGGTCTCCGTAAAGCGGCAGAGCTGTGATTGGAACACAGTCTTCTATTTCAGATTCTTTTATTCCAGGTAAGCTAGCAGTCAGAATTACCTGGAGTGCTTTTTAGAAATTCCTGGGTCTCATCCCCAGATGCTTATAAAGTAGAATTGACCTAGAATTCTGTAGTTTTATAACTTTTGAGGGTGAGTCTAATGATTAGCCAACTTTGGAATATACTAGATTAAGCACACTGTTGGTGATAGATACTTTGCTGGATACAACTTGAAAAAAACCCCAGGCATTCTTACAATTAGGGATAAATTGTTTTTGCATTTATTTGATAAATATTTTTTTTGAGCATCACCTTGTTGGCATTGTTTCATATGCTAGGATATAATGAGTAAAACAGAATTTCTTGCTCTCAAGGAAGTTATGTTCTAGAGTGGGGAAGAAAATAAACAAGTAAAGTATATATTTTTTGTGTGAACTGGTGAAAAGTGCTGCAGAGAAGTTCCAGTTGGATGGCTTAGTTGGTTGGAGTGTCATCCCTTAAACCAAAAAGATTGCAGGGTCAATTCCAGTCAGGGCACATACCTAGGTTGTGGGTTTGTTCCCTGGTTGGGTTGTGTATGGCAGGCAGCTGGTCCATGTTTTTTCTCTCAGGTGAGGATTATTTGTTATTTTTATTGATTTTAGAAAGGAAGGTGGGGGGAGGGAGGGAGGGGGAGAGAGGGAGAGAGAGAGAGAGAGAGAGAGAGAGAACATCAATGCTGAGAGAATCATTGATCGGCTGCCTCCTGCATGCCCCACACTGGGGATCGAGCCCGAAACCTGGGCATGTGCCCTGACTGGGAATCAAACCGTGATGCTCATCACTGAGCCATGCCAGCTGGGCTTGGGTGAGGATTATTTTTTAAAAAGAAGAAGAAAAGTGCTGTGGAGAAAAATAAAGCCACAGGGACTGAATTTCAAGGAATGGGGAGATCTCAATTTTAAATAGTATGGTAAAGGAAACTCTTTCTTGAGAAAGTAACATTTGAGCAAAGACCTGAAAGATGAAGAGGAACGAGCCTCGCAGGCAGGGGAAGTCACAGGTATAAGGAAGGCCCAGAGAGTGGAGGCTGCCTGTCTATATTTGTGCCACTGCAAGGAAACACCAGAGCTGAATCTGAGTACATGAGCAGTCATAGGATATGGGTCTGAAAAATAATGGAGAGGGGGCTAGACCAAGTAAGGTCTTCATAGGCCATTTTAACATCTCTGGATGATAATCTGACTTACATGTTAAAAGGATTACAGTGGCTGCTGTGTTGAAAATAATAGGTCATGGGCAAGACCTGAAGCGGGGTGACTAGCTGGAAGGCAGGTGCAATATTTCAGGGGGACCAAGTATGACCAAGGTGATGAGGTATGATTGGATTCTGTATATGTTTAAAAGTGGAGCCAAAAGGAATTGCTGAAAGGTTGGGATACATGATAGAGGGAGAAATCATGGATGATTCCCAGAATTTTGGCTGAAATGATTGGAATAATGGAGTTGCCAGTTACTAAGATGAGAAGGCTTTGGGGAGAGGAAGATTGGGGGGAAGACCAGGAGATTGGGACCAGTCAAATATGAAACATCCTACATAATAAAAAGGTAATATGCAAATTGACCACCACACCCTCACACAAAGATGGTCGCCCCCAAATAGTCAAAAGATGGCCTCCACAAGATGGCTGGCAGGGGAGGGCAGTTAGGAGCAAGCAGGCCAGCAGGGGAGGGCAGTTGAGGGGGACCAGGCCTGCAGGGTAGGGCAATTGGGAGTGACCCAGATAGCAGGGGAGGGCAGTTGGGGGCAACCGGGCCTGCAGGGGAGGGCAGTTGGGGGTGACCTGCCCAGTTGGGGAGGGCAGTTGGGGGCAACCAGCTGGCAGGGGTGTGGTTAGGGGATGATCAGGCTGGCAGGGGAGTGGTTAGGGGATGATCAGGCAGGCAGGCAGAAGCGGTTAGGGAGCCAGCATTCTGGATTGTGAGAGGGATGTCCGAGAGGCCCCAGATTGGAGAGGGTGCAGGCTGGGCTGAGGGACAACTCCCCCCCCGCCAAGTGCATGAATTTCATGCACCGGGCCTCTAGTTTGTCTAATAAAATACTTTGCTGGTTTTCAAACTTAGGGGAAATTCATTGGTTATTTTAGTGGCTTGTTTACACTGTTGCTGTTTGGCTGAAATTGTGTTAATGTTCTGTGAGATTTAATGAAGTCATTAAAATCAGCCAGTTTGACCCTTAAACACAATAAGGATGTAAAATTGATGTTCTTATTACTCTCAGATTAATATTCAGTTTCAAAATTAAGAAACAAATTACTCCATGCAACTTATATTTGAAAATACTTTTCTCATTTTTAGTGTTACTCAGTTTACCTGTCCCAAAAAGAATAACACTCATAATACACTGTTGAAATTTTTAAATTTACTTGACAGCTTTTTATTGAGACAAAAGAATACATATTTTCCTTATTAGTTTAACCTAAGAATAAGAAAAATTATTCTTTGGGAACCAAAATTTTAATTAAATAGTTGTTTATCCCTAGTTCCTTCAAATTTAGATTGGTTATATTATACCCTCTCATGTCAAATTAATACTAAAGTTTTCTACATATTTTTAATGACTTAGAAACAGTAAAGTAAAATTTGAGCTTATTTGAATTTTTGTAGTTTTATCGTTTTATTTTTTCTTCCTAGTGCATCTATCCTTTGGGCTCTAAATCATTTAATAACTTAATTTCTCCTGATTTGGAAGATCTTGCTCCAAATAAGCCTCAAAAAAGAAAGCTCTTGGAAATCAACTATAAAGATTCACCTTCTTTAGCAAATTCCAAAAAGATTAAAAGTGATATTGTTATTGATGGTGAACAAGTTTTGAACAGCAAACATAATGGAGAAGCATACGAGGAAACCTCATCAGACTTATCTGACTCACTGCACAGTGGTCAGCAGAGCCCAGTTAAGGCTGCTGATTTCTTGGGACCGGATGAGATTTTGGAAGCTGCTGTTACTGACTTGGCTGCTGAAGAAGATGCTACTGCAGTTGATATTTCTGGAACTGGAAAGACTGCTCTTCAAAATGAAGGAGGCACATCTGAACTGGAAATGCCACAGGAGAACAGATGTATACCATTTTGTCAGACTTCATGTGTTCAATGGAAAAATTCTGATGCCCTCTGTTGGTTAGACTGTCTCCTGTCACTATTGGTGCACTTGGAAGTGGTAAAAAAGGCAGTGATGACGGACCTGTGCTCTAAAGAGGAATCTCTGTTCTGGCAGTTGTTCACAAAGTATAATCAAGCTAGTAAGCTTCTGCACGCCAGTCACTTGGATGCAGTTAAAGGTTGGTAATACTATTTTATTTCCCTTTAATTTGTAAAAAGGTTCAAGTTGAGTTTTGTCTCACAGTTTGTGGAAAAGATGCCATCAGTGGCCTCTGTTGAGCATTGAGACCTGGGAGCATTGTGTCCTGTGAGTATTATGAAGCTTGAGATAACACCAATTGCATTGCTTTTTTTTTTTTTTTACAATTTTTAAAATTCAATTTTTCACAAGCATTTTTTCTTTTGTCTTTTCTCTGTTCCTGTTTTCTGTTATTACAGGAACCCCAATACTGACTCAGTGACCATTCTTCAATTAATTGTTACAGAAGAGCAGCAACTCCTGTTTAAGTTTTGACTTAAATATTAAATTAATTGTATTTTTATATTTTAATCTTGTATTACTCTTTTACAGAATAATTGTTTTTATAATATGGTTGTAATTAATTTGTTTGAGCTGCATTACTTTGAATTGTGTTTGAGGAAATATATGATATACCACAAAGAGGGGAGGAAGAATTAAGAAATTTTTGTGTTTTGCATTTTGTCTATGCAAAATTTATTTCCTGATAAACTTTCATTCTTGGCAGTGTCTTAATTTTCTTGAAAAGATATAGGTTGAGGAGAAATTGATAATCTTCTGTATTTTATTTTTAGATAGAGATTATACAAAACTTATTGCAGTATTTGCAGACATAGAGACCTGTCTGAATGACGTCAGAAGTAAGATTTTTATCAGGCTTCAGCCTCAGCTTGGGTGCACATTAGGTAAGTAAATTTGTGTAATTTAACTGTATAACTCATCTACCATAAAGAAAAACTTACATCATAAAGAAATATAATACTGTTTTATTACTTTAATGATCCAGATTCTTGGGGGAAAGAATCTGAGTGGTTTCATTTAGGAATTGACCACTGGTTAAATGATCAGGGCAGAGCTGGTCCATATAAATATGCAGGTTGTGTTTCACCATAGAGTGGATGCTGGTCTCAGAAACAGGTGAAGACTCGGGTACCCTGATTGTTTATTCAGTACTTTCCCCCAGTAGGCTGTTCAGCATTTTCAGCACTGTCTGTGCATTCAAAAGCACCTAAGGAATTTAACAGTAGTGTTAGGGGCCAATTAAATAATCTCAAGATGGAGCTCAGGAATCAGGAATTTTAGAACTCACATGACTCTTACAGGTGAACAAGGTTGAGAATCTGTGGTCTAAACCAACCAGAGTAATTCTACTTTATCTGCCAGTGATTAGTTTAGAAATGGACAGATGGTACAGTTTTTGCCAGTGGGATATGAAGAGAAATATGCTGATGACCTTTTGGGGACACTCCCTTAACTTTAAAATAGGGTACAAGAATAAGACCTGCTTTGTCCTTTATTGGCTTTTGGCTTGGAGCAGTATGGAGCAAGGGCACTACTAGTACATCTCTGTCTGGGCTTTTCTAAATGTTTTTGTAAAGAGGAGCTGTAATGATTTGTTTGTTTGTTTGAGGGGGATGTCTTTTATTTCTATTTATCCTTGTTAAACTCTTTTATTGTATTATAGAAGCAGAATATATGGTACCCCTATTAGTATATTACCCATTATTAAATTATGTAAAACACCAATGACTTCAAGTTTTTCTCTCAGTAAGTACATTTATTTTATCAGAACCAGATATTGTATCTGAAGCAGTGCTTTTTTTTTTTTTTTTTTTTTTTTATTTTTTTTACAGCAGCAAGAAAGGTAATGAACTTTGTAAATGAACTTAAAAGGCTTTCCCATTAGAATTTTTGTAGTATTTATTTTTCTAAGTGCTGTATATCAACTAGTTTAAATCACTAAACGGGTGCTTTGGGGATGTTAGCCAAAGGGGCAATATTTTTCTGAGAGATTTTCTTATCACAACCTGGATCCCAACTATAGATCTGATAGATAGAACTGAATGCTTTGTTTTTTGTTGTTGTTTTGTTTTTGCGCCGGCGCCTGCCCCACTCCCCACCGCACGGCATGGGGCCAAGGGGAGGCTGACCAGGTTGGTTTTGATCTGATAAATGTACGCATCTCCCCCCCAGGGGGGGTCAGCACCCATCCGCATGTTTAAAACTGAGTGCTTTGGAATATCCTGGGAGCCACTGCCATCTTTTTCTTTTCTTTTTTAACTTTCAAATTTTCACCAATTTCTTCATTCAGTTTGCGTTATCAACTGAGGAAAATGGAATTAGCCTAGCGCAGATTTAGCCTTGGATTTATTTTGGAAGGTAGTTGTTGCCTCCCGAGATGGTAACTATGGCGGGTGGAGGACACTCAGAAAGGCGACAGACATGAACTGTGAAGCACCATCCAGGCAGGTGGTGCTCTCAGGACCCACAGTGGGCAGCCGCTGTCCCCTCTGACGGCAAGCATAGCAGGCCGTGCCCACCTCATTGGCTCCGTCCTTCTCTCCACCCCTTGTCTCACCAGGTGACACCCCCCCCCCCCCCCCCTTTTGCATGATAGTATCTCCTACTTTGTTTCACAGTTTTGTCCCCTAGTTTTACTATCTCGTTTTTCATGAACTCATATAGATAAGAGTTTATTCTGTTTTAATAATAAACTGATTTTCAATATGCCAAGTCTTTGGTATTGCCTCCTCTAGATCTAAAGGGTTCTAATTTATCATTAGGTGGGGTCTCAGATGGGATGATTATTCTTTTTTCTTTTTATCAAAGTATAACAGTAACACCCTTTTTCTTTTTTATTTTTTATTGTTGACAGTATTACAGATGTCCTCTATTTTTCTCCCCTTGGTCCCCCTCCACCCAGCCCCTACCCATCTCAGGCCTTCACCACACTACTTTCTGTATCCAAGGGCTATGCATATATGTATGCAAGTTTTTTGGTTAATCTCATCCTATCCTCCCCTCTCCACCCCCCAATCTTCCTCCCCTTTGAGTTCTGTTAGTCTGTTCCATGCATTTATGCTTCTGGACTTATTTTGTCATATCATAGTTTTGTGGGTTTTTTTAAAAAAATCTTTATTGTTGAAGGTATTACATGTGTCCTCTTTTTTTCCCCATTGACCCTTTCTAGTCCTCCCCACCACCCCCTAGCCAGGGGTGGGCAAACTTTTTGACTCGAGGGCCACAATGGGTTCTTAAACTGGACCGGAGGGCCGGAACAAAAGCATGGATGGAGTGTTTGTGTGAACTAATATAAATTCAAAGTAAACATCATTACATAAAAGGGTACGGTCTTTTTTCTTTTTTTAGTTTTATTCATTTCAAGCGGGCCGTAGTTTACCCACGGCTGCCCTAGGCCTTCACTACACTATTGTCTATGTCTATATATGCATACAAGTTCTTTGGTTGATCTCTTTCCACCCACCCACCTACCCCAGTCTTTCCTCTGAGATTTGACAGCCTGTTCTACATTTCTATGTCTCTGGATCTGTTTTGTCATCAGTTTATTTTGTCATTAGATTCCACATATGAATGACATCATGTGATACTTGTGTTTCTCTGACTAACTTATTTCGCTTAGCATAATACTCTCCAGGTCCCTCCATGCTGCTTCAAAGGGTAGGAGATCCTTCTTTTTTACTGTTGCATAGTATTCCATGATGTAAATGTACCATAGCTTTTTTATCCACTCATCTGCTGATGGGCACCTGGGCTGTTTCCAGATCGTAGCTATTGTTAATTGCGCTGCTATGAACATAGGGCGCATATATTCTTTCAGATTGGTGTTTTGTGTGTGTTTTTTAAATATATTTTATTGATTTCAGAGAGGATGGGAAAGGGAGAGAGAGTTAGAAACATCAGTGATGAGAATCATTGATTGGCTGCCTCCTGCACGCAGCCCACTAGGGATCAAGCCCATAACCAGGGCATGTACCCTTGCTGGAATCAAATCCGGGACCCTTCAGTCCACAGGCCAACGCTCTATCTACTGAGCCAAACTGGCTAGGGCTATTTTGGTCTTCTTAGGATATATTCCTAGAAGTGGGATCACTGAGTCAAATGGCAGTTCCATATTTAATTTTTTGAGGAAACTCCATACTGTTTTTCACAGTGGCTGCACCAGTCTGTATTCCCACCAGCAGTTCCCTTTTCTCCACATCCTCATCACCAATTGTCATTTGTTGATTTGTTGATCACTTTTTATATGTAAACAGTTGTGTAACCATGACAATAATCAAGATATGGAATGTTCTATCACCCTAACATTTTCCCCAGACTCCTTAGTAATCAGCTGTCTTCACCTCAAATACTGATCTGTTGGGTGAACACTCATTTCAAGGAGTCTTTCCTAAGATCACCAGAGTACAGACTTGTGGGGCTCCCATGTTGCATTTTGCAAGTATCATTTCCCTCCTAGCATGACCTGAGATGTTTTATTCAGGGTCCACACTCCAGGTTCCAGTTGAATTAAAGAGTGTCTTCTTCCCCAGTCTGAATCATCACCCTTATCCCTGATAATTATGTTTGGAACAAAGTTGAATCTTGCTCACCGCCACCTTGGGCCTGATTTTCTTTCTTAGAGAAGGGATTTTTAAAGGATTATTTGTGCAATGATAGCAATTAGGCGAGCCCCCTCTCATTTGTGATCTTACTACTCATTCATCAGTGCTAGGTGCTACATTAGAGTTATGATCTAACTAATGAAATCTAATCTTTGCTTCAGAGAGTACTATAAAATCTTACCATGTGATTTCTCATTCTGAATATTAATGTGTATTTTAAAGTACCAAAGAAAGAATAGAATTTGTTCTGACCCTGAATTTTGTTTAAATTTTTAAGATTAGCCACATTATCACTTTCATTATTGTTTTTGAAAAACACACTGTAAATTATCCTCTGTTCTCCCTCCCCACAGTTTAAGAAATATAGCATTACAAATACAACTCAGACCCCCTTGTACTCTTCCCCAGTTTTTCCTTACCTCCTCACAAAGGTAATTACTGTCTTCAGTTTAGTGTTTTCTTTCCCTCTAATGCAGCGGTTCTCAACCTGTGGGTCTCGACCCCTTTGGTGGTTGAACGACCCTTTCACAGGGGTCGCCTAAGACCATCCTGCATATCAGATATTTACATTACAATTCATAACAGTAGCAACATTACAATTATAAAGTAGCAACGAAAATAATTTTATGGTTGGGTCACTGAGAAACTGTATTTAAAGGGCCAGAAGGTTGAGAACCACTGCTCTAATGTCTGTATTCCTTTTTTGTTGTTTGTTTCTAAGAAAGAGCTAATATTATGGTTTCTACTTACTTTTGTGTAAGTTAACAGAGTAATTTAGTCTGCATGTTCCAGCATAAGGATAGACAGACCAATCTATACTAATAAAAGGGTAATATGCTAATTAGACCGGGCATCTTCCGGACAAAACCATGGTGGCAGGGGCCGAGGCAGAGGTAGGTGGTTAGGGGTGATCAGGCTGGCAGGGGAGGGCAGTGAGGGGCAATTAGGCCGGCAAGGGAGGGCAGTTAGGGACGATCAGGCCAGCAGAGGAGGGCAGTTAGGGGCGATCAGGTCGGCAGGGGAGGGCAGTGAGGGGCGATCAGGCCGGCAAGGGAGGGCAGTTAGGGGCGATCAGGCCAGCAGAGGAGGGCAGTTAGGGGCGATCAGGTCGGCAGGGGAGAGCAGTTAGGGGCATCGGGCTGGCAGGCAGAGGCAATTAGGGGCAATCAGGCAGGCAGGCAGGCAAGCAGTTAGGAGCCAGTGGTCCCGGATTGTGAGAGGGATGTCCGAGAGGTCCCAGATTGGAGAGGGTGCAGGCCAGGCTGAGGGACATCCCCCCCCCACCCCTGCCTGCATGAATTTTGTGCACCAGGCCTCTAGTAGAACAGAATAGCCCAGATCAGGACCCTCTCCTTTTGGTTACTTGATACCGTTAGGGAGGCAGTGATGCAGATACGTAGGAAAGAAAAGGCATCAATTGGTTCTTGATACAGGGGAAAGTTGGGTTGGATCCCTACTTGACACCATAATCAGAAAGAAACTTCAGCATGTTTAAAAAGCTAAACTTGAAAAGCAGAATTGTAAAACTTTGGAAAAATATATAGGTGAATATTTTATCATTCACTGGGGAAGCATTTCTTAAATAAGATACATAAAAGATTGTAGATATGATTACATTAAAGTTTAAAGCCTCTGGTAAAAGATAGAGCAAAGAAACAATATCCAGCATATCTCATAAAGAACTCTTGTGCATTAGTTAAAAAAGCGATCAGAAGATGTTGAACAATTAACAGAAGAAAAAACTTGAATCCTTAGACAGCAAAGTCACTGAAAGGTTTGCATCACGGCAAATGAAATAGTTGGGTAGGAGTTGGTATTAGGTTATTAAAGGCAAAGAAAAACCACTTAACTGATTTAGGCAGGAGGTTATAAAAATTGGAATTTTCACTGGTATTATGTGTTCTCTAGTAGGTTGCTTTATATTTCATTTCCATAAAATTTATAATCAGAGGAAAAATAAGATAAATTTAGAAGCTATAGAAATTACCTAAAATGATCTTTGACCCCACAATTTAAGAATGTGTTCTGAGCTTTTTTGTATTTTGATTCATTGAGAACTTTATGTATTTTTAGATTTGAAGATTTTATGTTGTCATTATGAAATGTAAATTATTTACTTTTTAAATTTATCTTTAGTTACAATAGAGTAAGCATTTAAAGGCTGAGAACTAATTAAAGACTCATGCTATACGGCATACTGTTTACACGTGTGGTGTTGCATATGTTCATTTTAGGAGATTGATTTGTATTTATTTCTATTTATAAAAATACTTTGTTTTGCCTGACCGGTGTGGCGCAGTGGTTGAGCGTCGACCTATGAACCAGGGGGGTCATGGTTCAATTCCCGGTCAGGGCCCATGCCCAGGTTTCGAACTCCATCCCCAGTGTGGGGCATGCCCGAGGCAGCTGATCAGTGATTCTCTCTCATCATTGATGTTTCTATCTACCTCACCCTCTCCCTTCCTCTCTGAAATCAATTTTTAAAAAAATTGTTTTGACTTTGTTTTTGTGCAAAAATAGCAGCGGGACTATACCACAAAGGTGACTATTAATATAGCCTTTGTAACTTCTGATATTTATAGATTATGTTTAGGCAATAACAGCTATTACTGTTCTGCCTTTTGGTCTTGCTAAGGTGACTCTTCCAGGTGTGGTTCCAGGCTGAGAGGAGAACTGAATGTAAGACTGTCCCAGGGGAAGGAGGGGATGGAAGAACTCAGATTTTTTTCTAGCATCTAAGCTCCCCTGAGGACAAGCAGGAGAAAAACCCATTGGAGAAGGAATGTAAGGGGAAATGTAAATCCTATTTAACTTGCTTGCTGATCTCCACATTGGAAGATAGTATTCATGGTTCAGTTTTTGTTTTAATGACAACAAAATTCAGATCTTTGCTAGTCTTTTTATTTTTTAAATATGCTTTTATTGATTTTGAGAGAGAGAGGAAGGGAGAGGTATAGAGAAATACACTGAGTGGCCAGATTATTATGACCACCCCACCAGTATTTCATGGACACTTCCAAAAATACTGAATATTGAAAACTTCCTAAGCAAATATTCTCAAGGTTTTATTATTAATATTTGCATAACTAATTCACTTCATTGTACTGATGGGGTGGTCATAATATTCTGGCTGGTCATAATAATCTGGCCACTCAGTGTAGAAACATCAATGAGAGAAGATCATCATTGATCGGCTGCCTCCTGCGCACACTGCTACTGGGGATTGAGCCTGCAACCCCGGGTATGTGCCCTGACTGGGAATCGAACCAGCAACCTCTTTGGTTCCTGGGTCGAACGTCAGAAGAGTGGTCAGTAAGGAGATTTGAGACTGGTCCTTTTACTCGTGTCTATCATGCTCTTGCCACATGGAGAACAAGAAAATCAGAATAGAAATGGCTTCTAAATGCTTTTATCCAACTCTGACATTATTCTACCATGGTTTACCAGTTATATTATTTTTAATATCTGTAGCAAACCGTTGACATATATTTATTTTGTTTTTATAATACTCTAGAGCAGCGGTTCTCAACCTATGGGTCGCGAACAATGAAAATACATCCTGCACATCAGATGTTTACATTACGATTCATAACAGTAGCAAAATTACAGTTATGAAGTAGCAACGAAAATAATTTTATGGTTGGGGGTCACCACAACATGAGGAACTGTATTAAAGGGTCCCGGCATTAGGAAGGGTGAGAACCACTGCCTAGAGTAATTATAGCTCTGAGGAATTTTTTCTTCCTGAGAAAAGCTAAGGCGATTTGAGAAGATAGTGTGGATCTTTTGTGTCTTGCTTTAAGGAGTTTTCATACATGTCCACCAAGAAAAATGAAAGAGACTGAAGTGATAATTAAATCTTTATTGTGGACTTTTTTTATGTTTTTACTTTTTGGTTAATCCTCACCTGAGGATATTTTTTCCATTGACTTTTTAGAGAGCTGGAGGGGCGGGGAGAGAGAGAGAGAGAGAGAGAGAGAGAGAGATAGCAACATCAATGTGAGAGACACACATTGATTGGTTGTCTCCTGCACATGCCCCTGCCCGGGGATTGAACCTGCAACCAAGGTACTGCCCTTGACCCTGAATCAAACCCGAGACCCTTAAGTGCTGGCGCTGACGCTCTAACCAGGGAGCCATACCAGCCAGGCTATTATGGACTTTTTTTTTTTTTTTTTAGAAAAATGCTTTAAGAACTTACCCTTGCCCAACTGTGAATAGCATACTCTGTCACATGTGAATATGAATATACTAGAGGCCCGGTGCACAAAATTTGTGCACTCGGTGGGGGGGGCGGCGTCCCTCAGCCTGGCCTTTGCCCATTTGCAGTCCAGGACCACTTGGGGGATGTCCACCTGTTGACTTAGGCCCATCCCCCGAGGGCTCCCTGGCTACCAGAAGGATGTCTGACAACCCCGGCCCCAGTGGGGTCCGGGGTTGCCGCCTGGCCTGCGCCTGGGCCCTCCCGCCCTCCGATGCCATGGGGATTCTGGGCGCAGGCCAGCCGACAACCCCGGCCCCTGGGGTCGGGTTTGCTGCCCGGCTTTCCAATGGCGATCACCGGGGAAAGGCGGCCTTTGCCCACCCCCTAGTTCTTGCCTGCCGCCTGGGTTGCCGATCACCATTCTTTAGTCCTTCCCCTTTCGCCTGGGCGTATGCAAATTAGCCGCCATTTTTGTTGGCGGTTAACCGCCATCTTAGTTGGCAGTTGATTTGCATAAGGATATGCTGATTAGCCAATGGGAAGGGTAGCGGTCGTACGCTAATTACCATTTTTCTCTTTTATTAGTGTAGATGGCAGAGTATGTTATTCACAGTTGGGCCAGGTATAGTGAGAAAAGACAACAGGTTCATAATTTGGATTTACTGTTTTTGGTTCATTATGAGCAATCATTTTTCCTTTTCTTTTTGAAGGTGACATGGAAAGCCCTGTGATTGCATTTCCCCTGCTCCTAAGAATAGAAGCCTGCATTGAAAAGCTCTTCACGTACTCTTTTTCTTGGAACTTTGAATGTTCACAGTGTGGACACAAGTATCAAAACAGGTTCGTTTTTTTTTTTTTTTTAAATGGATTCATTCTATTGAAAATGGTTTTAAGTAATCAAATTTGAATAAAGCTTGTTTCCACTTACAACACCTCTTTCTCGATGGCTCCTTCTACCCTTGATAAAACTTCCCACCCTATCTTGAAGTCTCTCTACCACTAAGGTTAAAAGGAAGAATTCGAGCCCCAGAAACTGCAATTTGCTTGCTGCTTTAAACTGGAAGAAAACCCATGGTTTGATAGATTACGAGTGGGAGTTTGCTTAAGGTTTTCAGTGGTGAGTGGGACAAATGGGAAAAGTAGAACCATCCTCTCCAATCCTTTGTGAATTCCCTGCTGAGTAATACTACCTCTCAGAACCCCTTGAAACTGTGTTTTTGTTTACTCTTCTGATAGAGACCAGGTTTTTGTTTATGTTTTTAATATCATGGAAACTTATTTTGGTCTCCCAGAGTTTGGCAGCAGCTCTCAGAGGTAGTAGGTGCTTTCCTGTACCTAACCTTAGTCCCTGAAAGCCCAGCCAGCCCCCAGAATCCTCCATGTACTCTCAGCTATACTTTCCACTTCCCTGCCACCTATTGGAGGGGTCATGGTTGGTGTACATGGCCCTGTGATTAGTACTTAGGAGGAGGCTGGAGAAGAAAGCAACTGCAGGATTCTTTTGCTTCCACACACGTACCACATAATGCAGGAGATTAGGTTTTAGAAGAGGTGTTATAGGGAGAGAAAGTTTCCATCAGACAGGATACCCTCACTTTGTCAATATATGAGAAAGTTGCTAGCTGAAGGTTGAGAAGATTACCAAACTGGTTTTGTTAGTCATTTATTCAAAATTTTCTAATAGAGATAAATCCTTTTCTTATTTCTTAAACTCACCTACTTGGTAAATTAGAAAATTTGAAGTCTTTCAAAATTATTTGTTAAAATGAGAAGAAAATGTTACTTAGATGTTTATTATCTAAATTGAGATTATTTTTATATATTTCAGGATCAGTTGAGAGTAGTCTACGAGAGAATGACTTAGGGCAGTGGTCGGCAAACTGCAGCTCGCGAGCCACATGCGGCTCTTTGGCTCCTTGACTGTGGCTCTTCCACAAAACACCGACTTCTGTGCATGAGCCACGAAGTTTCAATCGCACTGTATGCGCGCCCGCACGTGGTATTTTGTGGAAGAGCCACACTCAAGGGGCCAAAGAGCCGCATGTGGCTCTCGAGCCGCAGTTTGCCGACCACTGACCTAGGGAATGCAAACAACAGAACCAGAAAACTTTTTTTTTTTTTTACCAGTTAGCTCGAAAGTACTAGAATAGAATACGAATTAGCATTTCACTCATACCTAGGACTTAATATAATTTTGTGTAAGTGAATGAGTATGAGAACAAATATTTGTTTCCTGATCTATCATTGATTATATAAATTATCTGATTTTCTTCCCACTTGGCAAATGTGGAAAGTGAAGCTTGAAAGCGGTTATTTAAACAGATGTCCAAGGGGACACACTAACTAGTAAGTGGTAGAATTCAGGCTTAAGTTTTCTTGCTCATTGTGGTAAACTTCCTAATCACAACCTGGATTTTACATAATATAAACAAGCTTGATTAAAATTAGCTCAATTCTACTTTTCTAAAATCTACATCTCAGTTTGACAGTTTTTCATTGAATATATTCTGTGTGCCAGAAACTCAACTTGGCTTGGCCAAATTCAGACTAGTTAGGGAGATAACAGGTAAACATGTAAGAGAGGGTCAGTGACTTCATAATTACTTTGAGCTGTTGGCTGCTTTAAGTTACTTTGAATATGTGGTGATAAATGCATTTGGAGGTGTATAGAGTAAACTCTTGAGAGTTCAAGGGAAAGAAGCCACTTTCTCTGCTTTTCTTTTTTTAATTCCTTTGTTCTAAAAATAAAAGTAGAGCCCTAGCCAGTTTGGCTCAGTGGATAGAGCCTCGGCCTGAGGATTGAAGGGTCCTAGGTTCAGTTTCGGTCAGGGCCCATGCCCGGGTTATGAGCTTGATCCCCAGTGTGGGGCATGCAGGAGGCAGCCAATCAATGATTCTCTCTCATCATTGATATCTCTATCTCTCCCTCCCTATCCCTTCCTCTCTGAAATCAATAAAAATATATTTTTTTAAAAAGTAGATATAGAGGAAAATCTAAAGTGAAATGGTATTTCATGAAATAAATTTTAATATATATGAGTTAAAACTTATTCTTAATCTGCTGGAAGAATATCCTGTTAAGAGCTTTAACTTGATTTAGAAGGTATGTTCTGGAGTTAAACACTTGGTCTACCGAGTCAGATCCCCTGGATTCCGATCTCGGGTCTGTCATTTACCATGTGATGTGCATTCTGCATTTTACTTTCCTCATCTGTACAATGGGGATAAGAATAACATCTGCTATGGGAGTTGTTTGAAAGAGAAGTGCTTGGCATAATGCCCTGCCCTGCACATCGTCAGTGCTCAGAAATGTTGGATGTCATATGGAGCATTAACACTTCTTTGCTGAGATAGATTCTCTTTTATAAACTAAGAAATGAGAGCCTTTACTTAACAGTTATCTTTGAGAATCAAAAATTTAGTAGAACTACAGCTGATGCATTTGTTGATCCCTTTATGCTGCTTTGCTTTTAAAGTGTTAGCTTCCCTGAGAGCTGTTGCCGTTTTATCAGCCCGTGCTTATCTTTATCTCACTTGTGATTTATCAATATTTGTTATTGTTTAGAACAGATGCCGATGTCCCTTAGGTAATAAATAATTGTTCTTTTGAAAATAATTTTTATTAAATCAAATGCAGATAAGTTGCAGTGTACATCCTTAAAGATCATTGTTTTAGATGCCTATTGCTATCAAGTATTTAGGCCGAAGTGTACATTTAGAACTTGTATAATCTATGAAAACAAAATTATTTCACAACTGATGTTCTAACTTTTTAAGGATCAAGAAAATTAAGTTACTGTCACATTAGTTTTGGCTGCCAAAAAATACGATATCACCCTGAACGGGTGGCTCAGTTGCTTGGAGTGTCATCCTGTAGATTGGAAGGTTGAGGGTTGTGGGTTATGGGAGGCAACCGATCGATGTTGCTCTCTAAAATCAATAAAAACAATATCCTTGGGTGAGGATTACAAAAAAAAAGAAAATTAAGTTGTATTCCTGATTCTCTATGTGGAAATGCCCCTTTTGTTTTTGGGAGTCACAGTCTGATAGACGGATTGTGAATTTTTTGAGTAAGGGGTGCAGCTCCTTTTTTTTTTTTTTTTTAAATATATTTTATTGATTTTTCACAGAGAGGAAGGGAGAGGGACAGAGAGTTAGAAACATCGATGAGAGAGAAACACCGATCAGCTGCCTCCTGCACACTCCCCACTGGGGATGTTCCCGCAACCAAGGTACATGCCCTTGAACGGAATCGAACCCGGGACCCTTGAGTCCACAGGCCGACACTCTATCCACTGAGCCAAACTGGTTAGGGCAAGGGGTGCAGCTCTTAATACATTTGAGAGCGTAGGACAGTGGGTCTGAACTAGGAATGACTTTGTGTGCCGTGGGTGGGACAATCAGCAATGTCTGGAGATCCTGGGAACTGCAGTTGGGGGCTGTTACTGGCATGTAGTGTGCAGAGGTCAAGCATGGCACAGTGCTAAACATCCTACAGTGCACAGGACAGTCCCCACAACAGAGGAGTACACAGTGCATTCAGGCTCATCAGTCTGAATTTCCATCGCCCAGACCAGTGGTACTGCTCTTGAGAAACTCTCCCTGTCTCTAAAATGTTCTTCTCATAGCTGGAAAACGGTAGGTAATTCATGTGGAGAGTCTTAACAACGTGTTTTACCAGGGTTAGGAAGCAACATCAGCCTATTTATTATATGTTTTGGGGGATAGGTTAAATATGAATAAGCAAGTGAAGGAAAGTACCATCTATTTTAATAACCTTTTTTTAATTCTCACCCGAGAATATGTTTTTACTGATTTCTGAGAAAGAGGGAAGGAGATCTTTGTAAGAAAGAAACATTGATTGGTTGCCTCCTGTATGCACCCTGACAGGGAATTGAACCCACAACCTTTTGGTGTATGAGACTGCACTCAAACTATAACTAAGCCACCCGGCCAGGGCAGTACCTTCTATTTTAGACATTGATTTAAATTAACATGAATGAATTTAATGTAAATGAATTTATGCCTTCTTTTTTTTTTTTTAGATGTATGAAGAATCTGGTCACCTTTACAGATCTTGTTCCTGAGTGGCACCCACTTAATGCCGCCCATTTTGGTCCCTGTAGCAATTGCAACAATAAGTCACAAATAAGAAAAATGGTATTGAAAGAGTGAGTTAAGATTAATTTACTAATTTTAAAATAAAATGAAGGTGGATTTACATATTTTTTTGAATGTGTAGGATTGAAAGTGATGACTGCAAACTACTTTTCAGGAGTTTGAGTTAACACATATTTATGAATTGCTAAAATGCTTTTCTGTTAGGAACTTTGGCCAACAAGCAAGCTGTCTCCTAGGTGAAATGAAGAGCACACTCGGGGTGATTATCTGACCCCACTCTCCTACTGTCTTTTGTTCTTTTTCCTTTTTCTCCCTTTAAGAATATTAAACATCATTTTTTCTCTCCTCTGCCAAGTGCCTGCAGTCACTAGAATTCTGGCATTTCCTTAATCTAATTTCAAGAACTCATGATTCAGAGATGAGCCACAGGCTCATCAGTCTGAATTTCCATCGCCCAGACCTTGGCCTGCTGATTCCTCATCCTCTTGTAAGCTTTCTGCTGCCCTTAAGCAGATGTCTTTTATTATGTTCTGCCAGCTTTTCTATTTATCCTCAGTGGGAGGACTGGTCAGAATTACCTTTTCCAGTGGCACCAGAAGCCCCATGGCTTTAAACTCACAGGCTAATTCCATTTTAGGTAGTTTGTCTCTCTTGTCAGTACGCTCACATGGGTGTACATCCTCTTTAATCTTCATTTTCTGTTGCCCTTATCTCTAACTCTACAATCAGGAAATGTTTTGAGATATAATTTGATGTAATAAAGAACTAATGATATTCTTACCTTTTCTGATGCCTTTGGATGTGCCAAGAAACCCCTCAGTTTTTTTTTTTTTAATTTATTGATTTTAAAGAGAGAGGAAGGGAAGGAGGGAGGGAGGGAGGGAGGGAAAGAGAGAGAGAGAGAATCACTGATTTGTTGTTCCACTTATTTATACATTCATTAGTTGACTCTTGTATATGCCCTGACGGGGGATCAAATCTGCAACCTTAGTGTCTCAGGATGATACTCTAAACAACTGAGCCACCTGGTCAGGGCTTCTAAAGGTTTGTTTTCATCCAAGTAATAAATTTCCAATCAGATAGTGCCAAGACTTAAAAAGGAAAAAAAGAGCAATGCCCCTCATATTCCATCTCCAGGCATCTACTTTAAACCTATTAGGTAGTATTTACTTTGACTTTTCAAAACTGTATGCTTATTCCACCTTTATACAATCTTCTTTTATAGTAGTTAAGTATTAGGGCTTTTAACCGACATCTGGGCCCAGTTCTACCTTTTCCCTTTCTATGTGATTGCATTTTGGATAAAATCAGTACTCATTGTTTATTATGAATATGCATATATTCCCTCCCTAGCCAAGCAGTATACTTGGTTCTGTTTTATTTCTTTTACAACTCTTTATTTTTCCTGGAATTATTAATTGCCTTGTGTTTGTATTTGCTTTATGTATGCATTGTGATTTTTTTCCCAAATTCTTCAAATGCCTATTAATACTTTTTTAAACACTCGAATGCTTCACAACTTCTGAGTCTTCCTCCCCTTTTTTTTTCTTGGAAACCTCTCTTCTGCCTTTCATCCTTCTGTTCCAGTGTTTCAGTCTATACTGGTTCCTCTCTGGGCCTGGTGCATGAGAGTGCTCTATACACACTTTCTGTCACTCTGCCAGTTTTTAGTACAGGGCCTTACCACCACTCTTACACATTGAGTCTTTTAGGGGTTCTCTTCTCGTCAGTATGCCTGCTCTGTTGCACTTGCGTCATTACTTCGTCCATTCTGCTGAGTTACCACTTTTCTGTTTGCTTTTTGTCTTCTAACTATTTATATTTTTTTCATGACTTATTTTTTTGTCCTTTCAGTTAATTACCTTTTTTCGTCCTTCACTATCATATGATAGCATTCACATGGGAGGGCAAATTGGGAAAGAAGAGGCAATGTCCTCAACCAGAAGGCCATAATCTGTCTTGGCTGTCTGCAGTGCAAGTTTTGAGATCTAAGTGTCAAAGGAGACTCATTTCTTTCTTTTTTTAAGCCCTCTTCCTTGATGAGGTAGAAAGGCTGCAGATGTAGGTGTGTGCCATCTGCAGTGGACCATTGAATTACTTGAGGCTTCTGGTGTTTATAATTTCATCTAAGAGTTTATACATGCTTTTTTTCAAGCCCCAGCACTGAAGATAAACTCATATTACTATTTTGTTTGATCTGTTAATTGGTTGCATTGCAACATAATTTTTACATAAACATGTTGCTTTACTTACATTAAAGATTTGTGCTCTGATCTAGAAATGTATCTGCAGGGTGTAATGGTGTTTGAGCAGGAAATGTGCTTAGAGTTCTAGTGGGTCAGTTTATAAGCAAAATTTATAATTTGGACATTTACTGTATTAAAAAATAAATGGAACTAGTGTGTAAATTTCACTTAAAACTTAAATGACGAGGTCTTTATAAAGTTCTTCGTAGTTTTTTACTTTGAAATTTATGTAACTTGATTTTTGGCATTTAATGGAATTTAGAAACAAACTTAATATAGTTTTTAGGGATAACTTAAAAGTAATTAGGTCTATCATGATATCATGCATAATTCAGTCTTATAGCATTTTAAAAACTAATAGTGTTATTAAGTTCCCTGAACACCTTGTCTCAGGTAATTCACATCTCTAATATGTTCCCATTAGAAAAAGAATCCATTGGGAAATCAGATGAATGATAATTTAGTGGGTTCACATCTACTTTAAGTAACTTGTTTGGGAATTCCATTCAGAGCATGGTGGTGACATGGAGTACCAATTTAGAATGGGATTTAATTTTACTTCACCAACTCTAAAATTTTTTTTTTTTAATCCTTATCTGAGGATATTTTTTTCATTGATTTTTTTCAGAGAGGGTGGAAGGGAGGAAGGAAGGGAAGAAAGAGAAACATTGACTTAAGAAAGACGCATCGATTGGTTGCCTCCTGCAAGCGCCCCAATTAGGGCTGGGGATCAAACCTGCAACCCTTGACCAGGAATCAAACCGCAACTTTTTTTTTTTTAAATATGTTCTTTTGATTTTCTACAGAGAGGAAGGGAGAGGGATAGAAAGTTAGAAACATCGATCAGCTGCCTCCTGCACACCCCCTACTGGGGATGTGCCCACAACCAAGGTACATGCCCTTGACTGGAATCGAACCTAGGACCCT